CCTCCTCCTCCACTCCTTGTGCCACTGCTGCAAGCATCACCCATGTTGTCTGATCCACCGCAATTCCTCGACTGTTCATCTGACTGCATCTTTAGATTACCCGGCGTTATGCGCTGTAGGCATTTAATGATTTAACCCAATAGTAAAAAAAAAAAAATCTTAACCCTTAAGGGCCTAAAGCCTAAAAACATCAAACTATTATCTCTGCCAACGGAAGCAAATAAGTTGAAATATGTTCCGTCGTTCACGTAACTAAAAATCTCGTAGCCCAATGCACTTTCCCGTTTTTTAGCCCAATAGTACAGATCACTAACTTTTTTTTTTCAATCAAAATGAGTCATCCGCTCGGAGAACTTTGCTCCCAATTTTTGAAAATCAAAACTCCTTTTCTGTCATTTGCCAAAACCAGGGCGGATACCCTTGTAGGGGTATTCGGCGATTCGTGCCGTTGCGGGACAGAACCCAAGCCTGTATAGGCTTGGGAGTCGTGGTAGGGAGGAGGTACTACCTTTTTTCCCCCGAATACGTGTCGTCATTATAGCTCTATTTAGACTGAAAGATATCCCCCATACATACAGCTATAATGACCGTACGTCATATTTGGGTGAAGAAGGTAGGTTCGAGTGGTGAATTTGAGAGAAGGGAGAAAAAAAAAAAAAAAAAAAAACTCAACTTCCACCTGTCTTTTCTGAAAACAGTAGGCGTAATGATGCGAGGATGGGATGAGAGGTAGGCTCACCTTCTCAGGACAGCTGTGGCTGACCGCTTCCAGTAATCACCGTCTGCCTGGGGCGTAGTCCCACTAGCAAAGAGGATCGGATAGAATGCCTGAATCTGGACGTGTTTGTGGAGAGGTGCATTAAATCGAGATTGAACTGCTTTTCTGCATCTCTGCATAAATCACATCCAGATTCAGGAGCTTGATTCTATCCTCTTTGCTAGTGGGACCGTGCTCCTGGAGACTGGCCTTTACCACACCCTGGTAATAATAAAAAAAAAATTCGGTAAGGACTCGGGAGTTGCGTCTGATTAAGCTTTGGCAGCCCTTTCTTTTCTTTTTTTTCCTTTTTTTTAAGGTTTTTTTTTCCTTTTTTTCTTTTTTTTTTGTCCTGTTAATGTGATAGATAAATCATAAATGCAAGCCTAATCTTTCCTCGTCCTTTTTTTTTATATGTTAAAAATGAACTTCAAATTTTTTTGATGTTTTTTTTTTTTGTGTGGTGCAGGACCACACGGGACCGGTCTTGGTGTATTTATTTTCGCTCCAGGAAACTGACAAATCAATTGCTTTTATGACATTTTATGTGGTATTTTTTTTATTTTTGCAGGCATCTCTGGGGAACGGGAGAAAACAGTTCTATCTGTAAATGGAGTTGATTTTCTCAAAAAAATTGATGTAATTTGCTCTTTTCGTGATTCCCTATCTCCCTTTGTTGCCTCTCTCTATCTCTCCGCGTGCATGGCTGGAAAGCAGTGTATCTTACCATGTTCCAGTGAAAGATTCATTCCGATTTTGCTCATCCTATCGATTGAAGTATCCTCTCTCTATCTCTCTGCGTGCATGGCTGGAAAACTAACTCTCTCTCTCTCTCTCTCTCTCTCTCTCTCTCTCTCTCTCTCTCTCTCTC